CCTCAGTGTGAGCTGCTTGTCATTATGACACAGACCATCACCTGCACCACGACTCGGCTGTTCCCGATCTTCCACAGACTCTACTCGATACAGGAAGTCAGCCACAGTCGGGAATATGATGATGGTAATATGTTGTGCACATTTGGGATATTTTGTTTTTTGTTTGTTTGTTGTTTAATGCTGCACCCAGCAATATTCCAGCTATATGGTGGTGATCTGTAAATAATCGAATCTGGACCAGACAATCCAGTGATGAGCATCACGAACATTCAGTTGGGATACGATGACATGTGTCAAAGTCTAATCTGACCACCATCCCGTTAGTCCATCTTACGACAAATGGGTTGCTGAAGACCAACTCTTATCTGGATCTTAAAGGGTCCATCTGGGATATACCCAAAGCAACATTGATGTAAACATGTGTAAATGAGTGAGTGAGTGAGTGAGTGAGAGCATGGGTGAGTGAGTTGAGCTTTGCACAGTACAGTAAACTACTTTCATGATGAACATGCTTATCAAAAACTGATGGAGATCATGAACGTTGATTTGTTCCATGCCACTTTCTTTATGTTTCAGTTGAATTGCATATAACAAACTTCATTACAACAAACTTTAATGAATGAGTCAAAGGTATTTTAGGACATCAAATTCTTATTTGTTAGACACAACATTTTGAAGTAAATTCTTCTTTCTTCTGAAAGAAGGAGTAAGTCTTAACTCTGAAACGTTGTGTCTAACATATGCAGACTAGTACCGGGTATTGTATTTCAGTTACGTAGTCGAGTGCGAGTCTGATGCCAGTGTTTAAAACTCCCCAAATTCCAAGCCAGACAGCTGGACTGGTAACTAAAAAAAATTACCACTCCGGATACAAACTTGCCTTTCCGGTTTTCAACGATGAGAAACAAACAAAATAAATCAGGTTTCTGAATACGTTACTGTTTGTAGGCATCGCAATGAACAACATAGCACTAACAGGCAATGCACCGAGTTTAGGTAAACTGAAAGTACATGTGTTGTGATTGGTTATTGTAAAATCAACTGTCCAATCGTAAATAGTTTAACATAATTATCATAATACCTTAAACACCTCAAACTGAAGCAAGAGAACCTGTCTGATGTTATGAAATATTTACTGTTAGGGGTAAAGACATCTAGGAGACCACCGGACAGGCTACTTTTGAAATTTGACTGTCCGAGATGAAAATAGTCCGTTCCGGACGGTGCGGCAGGAGGGAATTTTAAATGCTGCTGATGCATAGGATTTTTAAGACCAATGTGATGGAGATCTTCAATATCCCACATTCCCGAAATAAAACATAAGAACACGATCAGGGTGAACTAGGGTGTAACTAAAATTCATCCACTAGTCGCTTTATAACATTCATCGGCCCCGGCGGATCTACAAAGTGTTCATGGTATCACGATATTCAGAAACCTATAATAAATCATAACAATGTTAAGATAGCTTGTAAAACTGTGAACACTTTCTGGATTGAGAAGCAGCTATATCTGTTGTTCACAACAGTCAATTCATGTACATGTACTAACAGTAGAGAGTGAATCAAGGTAGACAACTCTGTCTGTCCTGACTTCCTTGTCAATACATGATTCTGAAAGTTCTCTGATATCATCACAGACATAACTCAGTTGAGTTGAGTTGAGTTGAATTTTACATCGCATCGGCATTATTCCAGCCATAGCAACAAGACCGAGTCTGGATAATCATACACATTACCCGGGTGCAGTGGGAAGCATGTATTGCACATTGCACAAGTAGCATGTTTTTTGTTTGGACTGATAGAATATGACGCTCTGAAAATAATAGTCTTTTCCAATTCTTGGCATTGGATGAAATGTTATGTGTAACTGACTTTTATATTGATGGATTATATCACTTTAAAAACGTGTATAATTTTCATTCCTTGGCAAGAGATGAAAGGTTACGTGTAACTGATTGTAAAATAATTGTTAAATCAGAACTTACGCCATATGATTTGAAACATTGCTTTACATATCCTTTAGTAATATCAGCTAAAACAGAAAGGTTTTGTATGTAATCTCTTCACATATACTAGTACTTACATAATTGCAGGAGAATCCAAATATTTGCTAATGGAAGATATGATTGTCTGTAGGCAGTTGACCTGGGACTCAAAAGTTTTGATAGCTCTTTAAACATGAAGGGGTTAAATGTGTCAATTGTAAAATTGAATTGGAGTGTGTGCTGCAGTCTGATTTGTTTAAAAATGTTGCTATATAGAATCAAATCAGGTAAATAATATTTACTTTTCAGTGCAAAGGAACATTTTTTTGTTGGTGAGAGTGAGAGCGCGAGTCTAGTTTTACGCTGTTTTTAGCATATCCCAGCAATATCACGGCAAGGGAGACCTGAAATGGACTTACCACCTTGTACCCATGTGGGGAATCGAACCTGGGTCTTTAGCTTAATGTGCAACTGTTTAAACCTCTAGGCTAACCCACCGTCCCTTTTGTTTTGATGTTGGTTGTTGTCTTAATCCCAAATCTGAACCCCCTGTGGCTTGGTGAAATGACATTTTCTCTTTCGAGGCATAGTTTGGATCACTTGATTGTTACATAAAGATGTTTACACAAATATATACTGCAGGTTTTATAGCACTCTTGCAAGTTTTACAGCAATCTGCATTTCCTCTTGATCTCTGGGTCAGGTGAACAGGCTTATGACTATCAGTTTGTTTGACTTGCCGGGAGGGTGTCAGTCTAGGCCATGCCAGACAACGTTTGATGACACTCTGCCATATTTACTGATCAATTTTGGCATGGGACCAGGTGCTTGTGTATTCATTGATGTTGGGAGATACTCGACAAATAGCCTTTTGTCCATACTGAACCTATACCGGATCTGTTCAAGCAATTCAGTATTATTTTCAGGGTATGAATAGGTTTAAAGCATATAGCCTTACCATTAATCAGAGCACAGGGACAGGTACTAGTTTCGGAAAAACAAATTCCACCTTTGAGATAAAGGTATAAAATTCGACAGTGAAGTTGAGACCAAGTCCAGGGTTCGAGGTAGTGACCTGTGTTTTTATCTTTTATATTTGAATTTGAGATATGAGGTGAAATATAAATTTAGTTGTGTAGTGAGACTGAAGAGACCAGACAACAGATTCAAGGTATCAGTACATTCGAACTATCGGAACTCCTATAACTGTATTCTACTGTACATTTTTTTAATATGCTTGTGTTGAAACACTACTGTATAATTTCCAAACCTGAAGAAAAAGATAAGTCTCCGTGATACTATTATATGTGATTCATATATATGCTGAAGTCTGTTGTCAAGTTTTAGACTAAGTATAAGCAGTCACAGACAAGCTGTTCCCCCCAAAAAAAAAATAAGATAAAATATGACAGCCTCCATGGTGTAGTGGTTAGAGTGGGTTCGATCCCCACAGCGTCATACCAAAAGATGTTAAAATATGGTACTTGTTGGTCCCTGCCTGGCGCTCGGCATTAATGGGTACAACAAGGACTGGTCGGCTCTGAGTCAGTATAATGTGCTTGAGTGATAATTCATACTTCACTGCGGCATGGTATCTCAGTGGGCTAGCACTATAAAACCAGCTTCAGTCTGGGCTAGTACAAGCAGCCGCATATACACACTCATGCACGTCGTCATATGAGCGAAATATTCTCAAGCACTGACGTTAAACCCAATTTCACCTCACCTCACCTCCCCCCACAGCATTGTAGATGGGACCACATTATAGATTCCAGATTGAATTGTTTAGTTTTTAACCCAATGCACAGTCATAGCATTGACCATGTAACACTAAAAATACAATGTCAACAAATCTGAACTTAATTACGAAATTTAATCATGAAATTAAGCACACATGCATGCATTGCTGTATAAGGGCAATGATCTTGCACATAACATTAAACCCCATTTCAATTCACGTAACCTCACCCACATGACCTCAGCCATGTGACCTCACCCACTTTAAACCTTGCCCAGAATAACCTCACCAATGTAACCATGCCCATATAACCTCACTCACATTATAAACCTAACCTACATAATCTCACCCACATGACCTCACCAACGTAACCTCGCCCATAATCACCTCACCAATGTAACCTTAACTTATGTAACCTCACCTAAAAATCTCACCCTAATGACCTCACCAACGTAACCTCGCCCATAATCACCTCACCAATGTAACCTTAATGATGTAACCTCACCTAAATAATCTCACCCACTAAACAAACCTACATTACCTAAACCCTGTTACCTCACCCACATAACCTCACCCTGTAACGCAACCTCAGTTGCTCATTGTCGCCAGAGTTTATTATATGGTCTCTGTTGTCACCAATGAGTGCCATATTTGGAGCATTATCTCCCTTTAATAGCCTCTTTAAAACTGCTCACAATGATAGGTATACTCAAATTGAAAGTTTAATCTTTCAAAATGCTTCATTTATGATGCAAGCACAGAATATGCTCTTCATATGTTAAAAATTAGAGATTTAGCTGACTGGCTATATGTAATGGTATACAATAAATTTATAGAACCGTCTATTTGACTATGGATTTATACCCGCCTAAACGTGTGACACAACATTAAGTGAGTTTACAGCTTACACTGCCTTACAACCCTAATGTGGGTTTGTTGCTGTATATCATTCATGGAGAGAAAGGAAAGATATATCTATCAATGCCTTGCCGGACTAGCCCTGTAATGATATACAACAAACAAAGTGTTTCTGTATACACATGTCGGTGCATTAACCCTCTAGGGACTGGCTTTGTTGAATGGTCTGGCTGGTGAATAGTCAATCCTCTGGGTTTGATAGTTTATGGGTTAATGTTACAGCTATACACTGATAAACAGTGACAATAGAGATATTCTGCCTGGGGACCGGGAAGGTAAATAACAATTTGTCTAGCCGGTAGATTTGAGTTATCAATTATTCAAACAATGAATGTACTTGTGTTATGTCTTTTCTAGATAGTCTCAGCTTGCGTGACAACCGAACACCAACCAGTGTCTCGGAGAGTTGGGCAGCAGGGCGGTCGGACAGGGGGGTTGGAGGGGATTCTCGGAGACCGTCCATAACGGAGTCGGAAGAACGTGGATTTGTACCCCAGAATGTCGGAGCTGAGAAAGTGAAGAATGAGCTGCTGCAACAGGCTGGCGGACTGAATAAACGGGTAGGTGGATATTGATGTTTATACCACACTGAGCTGCTTGGACTTGTCACGTGGATTTTGTAATGATTTTAGGCTGTCATGTTGTTGTGATTAATTCCAGGCTATTGTACTGTTGTTTTGATTCCAGGCTAACATGCTATTGTTTTGATTTAAGGATGTTGTTTTGATTCCAAGCTGTTGTATATGACCAGATGGTGGCCACATAAATACGTGCAAACACCTATTTGCGGGTACAGCAATGTGCAGTAAACTTGGACAAAATACTGTGACTATGTGTCCCAGTCCACCCAGCTGTGTATGGGTACCTTGGTAGGATGAGAAAGCCGCAATAACTTGGTGCACCTAGTGGCTGCAAGAGTTGTATGATCCCTAGGGAGTTGAGATTGATAATATGATGTGCCATTGAGATTGACATCCAATGAGGGAAAAAATACCAGCGCCTTGAGCATGCACTAGTTACGAGTCTGTGGATATGTGCGCTATATAAATATCTTATGATGATGCTGTTGTTTTGATTCCAGGCTGTCATGCTGTTGGTTTGATTCCAGGGTGTCATGCTGTTGTTTTGATTCCAGGCTGTCATGCTGTTGTTTTGATTCCAGGCTGTCATGCTGTTGTTTTGATCCCAGGCTGTCATTCTGTTGTTTTGATTCCAGGCTGTTGTGCTGTTGTTTTGATTCCAGGCTGTTGTGCTGTTGTTTTGATTTCAGGCTATCATGCTGTTGTTTTGTTTCCAGGGTGTCATTCTGTTGTGTTGATTTCAGGCTATCATGCTGTTGTGTTGATTCCAGGCTGTCATTCTGTTGTTTTGATCCCATGCTGTTGTTTTGATTCCAGTCTGTTGTGCTGTTGTGTTGATTCCAGGCTAACATACTGTTGTTTTGATTTCAGGCTGTTGTGCTGTTGTTTTGATTCCAGTCTGTTGTGCTGTTGTTTTGATTCCAGGCTAACATACTGTTGTTTTGATTCCAGGCTGTCATGCTGTTGTTTTGATCCCAGGCTGTCATTCTGTTGTTTTGATTCCAGTCTGTTGTGCTGTTGTTTTGATTCCAGGCTAACATACTGTTGTTTTGATTCCAGGCTGTCATGCTGTTGTTTTGATCCCAGGCTGTCATTCTGTTGTTTTGATTCCAGGCTGTTGTGCTGTTGTTTTGATCCCAGGCTGTCATTCTGTTGTTTTGATTCCAGTCTGTTGTGCTGTTGTGTTGATTCCAGGCTAACATACTGTTGTTTTGATTCCAGGCTATCATGCTGTTGTTTTGATTCCAGGCTGTTGTGCTGTTGTTTTGATTCCAGGCTGTCATGCTGTTGTTTTGATTCCAGGCTGTTGTGCTGTTGTTTTGATTCCAGGCTGTTGTGCTGTTGTTTTGATTCCAGTCTGTTGTGCTGTTGTTTTGATTTCAGGCTATCATGCTGTTGTTTTGATTCCAGGCTGTTGTGCTGTTGTTTTGATTCCAGTCTGTTGTGCTGTTGTTTTGATTCCAGTCTGTTGTGCTGTTGTTTTGATTCCAGGCTAACATACTGTTGTTTTGATTTCAGGCTATCATGCTGTTGTTTTGATTCCAGGCTGTCATTCTGTTGTTTTGATTCCAGGCTGTTGTGCTGTTGTTTTGATTCCAGTCTGTTGTGCTGTTGTTTTGATTCCAGGCTAACATACTGTTGTTTTGATTTCAGGCTATCATGCTGTTGTTTTGATTCCAGGCTGTTGTGCTGTTGTTTTGATTCCAGGCTGTTGTGCTGTTGTTTTGATTCCAGGCTGTCATGCTGTTGTTTTGATTCCAGGCTGTTGTGCTGTTGTTTTGATTCCAGGCTGTTGTGCTGTTGTTTTGATTCCAGGCTGTTGTGCTGTTGTTTTGATTTCAGGCTATCATGCTGTTGTTTTGATCCCAGGCTGTCATTCTGTTGTTTTGATTCCAGTCTGTTGTGCTGTTGTTTTGATTCCAGGCTAACATGCTGTTGTTTTGATTCCAGGCTGTTGTGCTGTTGTTTTGATTTCAGGCTATCATGCTGTTGTTTTGTTTCCAGGGTGTCATTCTGTTGTGTTGATTTCAGGCTATCATGCTGTTGTGTTGATTCCAGGCTGTCATTCTGTTGTTTTGATCCCATGCTGTTGTTTTGATTCCAGTCTGTTGTGCTGTTGTTTTGATTCCAGGCTGTTGTGCTGTTGTTTTGATTCCAGTCTGTTGTGCTGTTGTTTTGATTCCAGGCTGTTGTGCTGTTGTTTTGATTCCAGTCTGTTGTGCTGTTGTTTTGATTCCAGTCTGTTGTGCTGTTGTTTTGATTCCAGTCTGTTGTGTTGTTGTTTTGATTCCAGGCTGTCATGCTGTTGTTTTGATTCCAGGCTAACATACTGTTGTTTTGATTCCAGTCTGTTGTGCTGTTGTTTTGATTCCAGGGTGTCATGCTGTTGTTTTGATTCCAGTCTGTTGTGCTGTTGTTTTGATTCCAGGCTGTTGTGCTGTTGTTTTGATTCCAGTCTGTTGTGCTGTTGTTTTGATTCCAGGCTAACATACTGTTGTTTTGATTCCAGTCTGTTGTGCTGTTGTTTTGATTCCAGGGTGTCATGCTGTTGTTTTGATTCCAGGCTGTCATTCTGTTGTTTTGATCCCAGTCTGTTGTGCTGTTGTTTTGATTCCAGGCTGTTGTGCTGTTGTTTTGATTCCAGGCTAACATACTGTTGTTTTGATTCCAGTCTGTTGTGCTGTTGTTTTGATTCCAAGCTGTCATTCTGTTGTTTTGATCCCAGGCTGTCATTCTGTTGTTTTGATTCCAGTCTGTTGTGCTGTTGTTTTGATTCCAGTCTGTTGTGCTGTTGTTTTGATTTCAGGCTATCATGCTGTTGTTTTGTTTCCAGGGTGTCATTCTGTTGTGTTGATTCCAGGCTGTCATTCTGTTGTTTTGATTCCAGGCTGTCATTCTGTTGTTTTGATTCCAGGCTGTCATTCTGTTGTTTTGATTCCAGGCTGTCATTCTGTTGTTTTGATTCCAGGCTGTCATTCTGTTGTTTTGATTGCAGGCTGTCATTCTGTTGTTTTGATTCCAGGCTGTCATTCTGTTGTTTTGATTCCAGGGTGTCATTCTGTTGTTTTGATTCCAGGCTGTCATTCTGTTGTTTTGATTCCAGGCTGTCATTCTGTTGTTTTGATTCCAGGCTAACATGCTGTTGTTTTGTTTTGTTTCCAGGGTGTCATGCTGTTGTTTTGATTTCAGGCTGTGATACTGTTGTTTTGATTCCAGGCTGTCATGAAGGTGACCATAAGAGATGCACTTTTGCTTTATTCCTTTGTCTTTTGGACAATATAATACAGTAGAAGCCCTCTAAATCGGCAATCGTTGGGACTGACAAAAAATGCCGGTATAGAGGGTGTGCCGGTTTAGAGAACTTTCCCTTTTCAACCTGAGAATGATTTTCCGTGTGTCGTAAAATACGAACAATGTGTTGATAGTCATCATATTCGACGCTCACTTTGAACTGTTTCATGTCGTATCGTGTCTTCCAACGTGCCAGCCAACCATCTGATGCATTAAACTCATTGAAATTTAATTTTGAAGCAAACTGAATAGCGTTCTCTTTCAAAATAGGACCTGAAATGGGTTTGTTTTTACAGCGGGCAGTCGAAAACAATCATGCCAGTTTAGAGAGCGTTAATTACTGTACAAACAGTCAATTGGGCGGTCTTTGTTGTGCCGAAATATGGAATAGACTGATGCTGCATTAGAGGGCGTGTAAATGATCATAAATTAACTAGTTTCTGTCAGGACCAAATTCTAGTGCCGATATTGAGAGCATGCCGGATTGGAGGGCTGCCGGTTTAGAGGGCTTCCACTGAATGTTAAACACAAACTGTTAGTTTTAAAAAATGACTCTGGACTCAGTATCGTAGCGAAGATTAGGGTAACATCTCATCATGGAAATGAACATATTTTATAGAAAAGAACTTCCTAAATTAAATTAAGTACATAAAACCTCATGCTGCTATCATGGAATAATAATTAATTATAACCACTACAAGCGATATATTAGGATTCAGATATTAGGAAAATAGCAATATAGAATCTTAGTTTCATCATGGATCAGTAATACCTTAAGCTAGGATTTATCTTGGACATCTGTGAAATTGTGTAATCGTAACTTATACCTTTTTCAATAGTATGTCTGTGAGATGAGTTTTACTTCTTTTGACTGGAGTCTTTCTCTAAGCTATTACTGATCCATGATGAAACTAATATTTTGTATTTTTATTCTCATAATATCTGAATCCTAATATATCGCTTGTAGTGGTTATAATTAATTATGAATTTTCATATGAATTATTATTCCATGATTATTGACTGCACTAACTTAGGCTTCAAATTTGATTTAGCATGGTATAATGTATAACTCAGCTCTACTGTCAAAACACAGAATCTTTACTATGAAGACACTTCATTTGTCAGATTTTACAGTCTAGAAATTAATAACATACATAAAAGAATATCGTTAAGTGTATTAGTTGAACACAATGGATGGAGATCATGGACAGTAATTTGATTCTTGATGTGTAAGTCAGGAAATCTTTGATGTGTGTATTGACCGTATTTAGATTCATGTCATTTAAGCCATGAAAAACTTTGATATATGTATTGATAGTATTTAGATTGTTGACATTTAAGTCAGGAAATATGTATTGATAGTATTTAGCTTGTTGACATGCAAGTCATGAAAAACTTTGATATATGTATTGATAGTATTTAGATTGTTGACATTTAAGTCAGGAAATATGTATTGATAGTATTTAGATTGTTGACATGCAAGTCATGAAAAGCTTTGATATATGTTTTGATAGTATTTAGCTTGTTGATGCAAGTCATGAAAAGCTTTGATATAATGGATTGAGAAAAAGTTGTAATAGTCACCTGAAGGAAACTCATACTATCTTACATGGGGACACCTGAATCATGAAAGTTTGAACGGATGATCAATCAGTTGGTGGGGAAATATCAATACAGCTTCGATTAAC